TTCCAACACACCATAAAACCTGTACATGGGGGTACTGTTTTACTCAGAAGACTTTACTGAACCCAAATATTAGTGTTTCAAACAGTAAAATAAATCACAACAATGATATAGTCAGTGAAAATGCAATTTTTTTGCATTTTTCACACACAAACAGCACTTTCACTGACAATATTATTGTTGTGATAAGTTTTATGGTTTTGAAACAATATTTCTGCTCAACAAAAGACTCCCAAGTATAACCGTGCACCCCACGTACAGATTTTACGGTGTTTTCAAAAGTTAGAGTCAAATATAAGGTTTGCATTTCAGGTTTTCACATTGAAATTTGCCAGATTAGTAATGTTACTTTTGAGACCGTGTGATAGCCCAGGAATGAGACTTACCCCCATGATGGCATACCATTTACAAAGTAGGCAACCCAAGGTATTGCAAATGGAGTATGTTCAGTCTTTTTTAGTAACCACTTAGTCACAGAAATGTAATGTGCTATATTTGACCCTGTAACTCTCCAAAACACAATAAAACCTGTACATTTGGGGTACGGTTTTACTCGTGAGACATTGATGAATACAAATATATGTATTTTATTGCAGTAACAGCTAACAGTATTATGCTATTCACAGTAAAAATGCCATGCAGAACTAAAAAATAGCATTTCTTAATTTCTCACTTTTTTAATATTTTATTAATATTAAATTATGTTTCATATATAAATATTTGATATGACAAGAAAATTATTTATAATAAGTGTGTGTGCATTTAATATGAAAGAGGTGAATTCTGGTGGAACAGATATATAGCGCAAATTCAAAGTTTTGTTTATGTTTTGTTTTGATCACAACTTGTACAACTGCCTCAGTCCTTGAGGGGTTAAACATTGGTCGACAACCTAATTAGTAGCCAAGAATTTTCTTATTTTTTTAATGATTATTTTATATATATTTTTCTTTTGGTATCAGTGTTAAAAATGTGGCATAAAGGGACCGCAGTGTTTCCTGCCAGAATGGTCATCCCCAAGATAAATTGGAATGTCACCTGAATATCCCTGTCTCATCTTCACTATGTGGCTCACACTGTCTTCCTGTCTGCTGCTACTTTCTTTAGGGCTGTCTCTTCTTGCGGTATTTGTTGAGTGTCAAGGTGAAGGTCCCATGATCTTAGCGTGGCCTCGCCATCTGCCGGTGTGCTGAAAACTTTCAGGATCCTATTCCTCCACAGGAGCAGTTTCATGGGTTATGCCCAACAATATGGGATGCTGTTGGATCAGAGTGTTTTTGTTATTCCTGCTAACTCTCTTTGCCCTGCCATGGTCTCTGCAGATAGATCTGTGAGCATGGAGAGGCTCTGGAACAGTTCTGGCAATTATGCAAGCTTTCTTGTGGTCACCGTCAGTATTTCTTTTGATTTATAATAGTGTAGCTGTACAATTATATATCTGGGCGAATCCTTGGGAAGATTGCGGGACTTAGGGATTCTGTGTGCTCAGTCTGTGCACCACTCCTCTATAGGACTAAGGCCCTGAATAAAGATAATACATACTAAGGAAAGCTCTCTTGAGTTATATCCTCTGTTATACCCCTTATTCTTATTTTGTTCCTTCAGGAACGATCTTCAGCAGGGGCGCAACTAGGGACCGATTGGGCCCCTGTGCAAGAATTTAGTTAGGGCCCCCTTGTCACTCCACCTTGTGCATATTCTTGCTCCTTGTCTCTCCCCACTAAGCAATACACATGGTTGAGATGTGTGTGGTTTCTGTGATAGAATTTATCTTGATTCCAAGGCTCAAGCTTATAGGTGTCATATAATGATATCCTATATTAAAATTGGCTAACTTGGACTCAGGAAAGGAAATGCTTGATGCTTAACACAACACTTAAGACCATATAAGTCTAGTTCCGGGAGCAGAGAGCCCCTACCTGAGATGTCTCTTCTCTAATCTTTTTTGTTCTTTCTTACCTTGGAACGTATTTGTTATGTGTACATGACGTTCATACCTATGTCTTATCTGTACTCCCTTCCTATTACTGTTCTATGAGTATTTGCACGTAAGCACTTACTTTTTAATGTATAAAACCCAGCTGCGGGGGCGTGGCCTGACCGCCGAGCAACATGGCAGCCTGATCCCGGAGCTCCGTCTCACCCAGCCTTAACAAGCGTGCTCAGACAAGAGCGAGGGCGCACTATGGGCAGAACAAAACGCCCTGAGGGCTCCCAGACACCGAGGGCTGTCCCCACAAACCACCCGGCGGGCCCCATGGACGGGTACCTACACACGCCGGCAGCCGTGCCACACGAGCAGGTAGGCCCGGCAGAGACCGGCTCCCCGCCACGTGTACGGCCCCCAGAGCCCAATACACCCACACTGGCCGACATCAGCGCTGACATCAGGGCACTAGCAGCTCAGATGGTCACAAAAAGTGACCTCCAAGCCCTCTCAGACGACCTCCATGCCGCAATCCGCTTTGAGGTGGCGGCCCTGCGGTCAGAGGTCACAGCACAGGAAGGCAGACTCCAAACCCTGGAAGAAGCAGTGAGAGGGGTGACGGAGAGAGCAGGGACCAACACCCCTGCAGCCACAAGACAGGGGCAAATGCTACTGGCCCTCCGACGCCAGACAGAGGACCTGGACAACAGGGGCCGACGCTCCAACATCCGCGTGCGCGGAATACCTGAGCCAGCCACTGAGGAAGATGTGGAGGTCACGCTAAGAGCCCTATTCCGTGAGATTCTGGGAGCTGACATGCCAGATAACATGGCATTTGACCGGGCACACAGAGCTAATAGACCCAGGCCAGCAGACAACACACCACGAGACGTCATCTGCTGCCTACATAACTACAAGCATAAAGAAAAAATAATGCTCAAAGCTCGCTCCAGACCGCTGTGGAGGTTCCGCGGTGCAGACGTGGCCCTGTACTAAGACCTATCACCGCTCACACTCGACGCCCGCAGGACCCTACGTCCCATCACATCGCTACTCAGAGAGAGAAACACCCCCTACAAATGGGGGTTCCCCTTTGCCCTGCTTGCCAGATACCAAAACGAATGGGTACCCCTACGCTGGCCGGAAGAGGGCCCAGAATTCCTACGCCGTATGGGCCTACCGCCCACTGAAATAGCGGACTGGATACTCGGACCCCTGGAGCAGAGACCTGGACCCTACACGCCTCGACAGCAGTGACGCTGTGGGGAGGACCCACCAAGACGCCCCAGTGCCCGCAGACGCCTGGACCCAGCAGCACCCGAGGAATAGCAATATTGACGAACACCCCCCCGATACAACCACCACCCCCACCTGGAGATCCAGCAGAAAACCCTGCATGCCCGAGAAACATCTGGACAACGGTACCCGCCGTCGAGAACCCAGATAAGTGATACACAATACACGACCCACACTGCATGTACTGAGCAAGGGGCATAACGACAGGGGTTAAAAACAATGACTCAAGCTTCTCGATCTTAAAAGAACCAGGCTACATTTGGGGTGGGGGGACTATTGGTGGGGGGGGACAAGCGTAAGACTCAGAATCTGCTCACAATGGAGAACACTGGGCTAAAGACTAAACAGTAGCCTGTGTCATTCGGAGCTAACAGTTTTCATAACCTAATGTTCCACAGTTTTAAGTTTTTATGGTTTGCTCTAGCACACTAAGGGAATGCACAAAGACACCTCCATAGTTGTACCTCCATGGCTATACCCCAAGACACTAAGATAGAAGCGACAGGCCACTGTTAGGCTGACCAGAACCCCTAGTATATCAATAAAGGGACACTGCCGACTTGACAGGCAAACGAAATTTAGCCGACAACTCTGAGAGGGATAGGCACGCTGCAATGAGCCCCTGGGGTGCGACGGGTAGGGACTTATTGGTGATAGAGTCCCCAAGCGTACACCAAGACCTGACTCCCCCAAGTCGAACATACAGGCAATACCCGGAGTCGACACCCCATGCCCCTCCACCACAGGAGGTCATTCTTGTATGACGAGGCAAACTTTTGGACCCCCACCCCATGAGACTAACAGTAACGACACTATATACCGAGAAAATCCTAGGGACCGACTATGACCGCACCTGAAGCACCCTGAGATGGTACGGACTAGGGGAAAAAGAGGGGTAACCAGAAGGAGCTAGGGATTAGCTGAGACGGGGGCCGCAACGCATAGGAGGGGACGGTGAGGCTCACACCATTGGAGATGCTGCGGTTGCGAGACCCACTACGACATACGGAGGGGGTGCGCCCCGCGGAATGGGACGCTATCACCGCGGGAACTACAATACCTACTCAACCGGGCATGACTGACAAGCAGACCACACGTGCTAGGAGACACATACAACACGCTTAAGTAGGCCCACCCTTACACTTCCACTAAGACCGGGAGACCCTACCCAGCAACTGCAACCCGACGCACTACCACCACTACAATGGGATAGTGTCACACGGACACCTTACCGATGCCCATACCAAACCCTCACGACCGCCACAGTAAGCCTCAGCACCCAAAATGCAACCAATCACCAATGAGACGGGTGACCCGCGAGATAGGCACACTCGGACCGACTACACCACCCGAACACACCACCGCTACCCTGGGGGTATATGATATAAATGGGACACCACGACCCCGACCTCCACCTGTGTAAACACAGACTACCGAGGGGACCACTGCCTTGCTGCCCTAGCTCACGCTAAGCGGCGGTTTGGCATTGCCATCCAACTCGGTTACATGGGTACCTATCCCTACAAGGACTGACATCCCAAACACCTGAGAAACAATATAGACTAAAACACATAAGCTCATAAACGGCACCGACTAATTACACGACTCACGAGAGACCCCCAGGCCACTGGGAACAGAGACAGCGAGCGCGGGGCGAGGTGACCCTCTCTACAACCCCACCTAACTCTATAACCCCAACCGCTTACCCATCCCAGCCCTTAACCCATTCCTGGGCCACCATTCACCACCCCTACAGAATACTACAACAAACTCACGCACCATGGCATATACACCCGCACCATTCCATATAATCTCACAAAATTGCAGAGGCCTGAACGCCCCCGAAAAAAGGTCCCACCTTCTACAAGACTTAAAACGCCACCGAGTATCGATTGCCCTCCTACAAGAAACGCATCTCAGGGAGGTAGACACCCAAAGAATACAAAACAAACACTATAATACCACCTACCACAGCAGCCACCAAACCACACGAAAAGCTGGAGTCTCGATTCTCCTAAGCACCACCCTACAATTCACTCACTCCGAAACGCTCAAAGACACAGAAGGGAGATACATATTCGTGAAAGGAACAATCGCCCAGAGAACCTATACGTTCGCCTCAGTTTACGCCCCAAACGTAAACCAGGTTAAGTTCCTGCGCAAAATGCTCCTGAATCTAGCAACTTTTACGGAGGGCATCCTTACCCTCGGTGGCGACCTCAACCTGCCTTTAGACCCTATAGCAGACACTTCTACTGGACAGAGCACGATAGCGCAAGCGGCAATCAGAAGGCTCCGCAGAACACTACACGACTTGAGATTGGTGGATACTTGGCGAGCACTACACCCGGACAGCCGAGACTATACACACTACTCGACCCTACACAAACAATACTCGCGCATTGACTACATTTTCATCCAATAAGAAGGACTCACACATCTACAAGGGGCCGACATTAAACCGACCCCGTGGGCGGACCATATCGAAACCTCTATACACCTACACTCTCCCATCTTCAAGCCCACTAGAACGTCCTGGAGAATGAATGAATCACTTCTTCTAGACGTAGCAATACAATCGAAACTGACCGAACATTTGAACCAATACTTCGAAGAGAACGCAACGGCCGACGTCTCACAGACAACACTCTGGGAGGCACATAAAAGCGTCCTTAGAGGACATTTTATACGACTAGCATCACGAAAGAAACGAGATAACCTGAAAGCAATCGAAGACCTAACAACCCAAATAGCACACCTGGAGACTCTACATAAACGAAGCCAACTAGAAGCCCAATACCGAGAACTCTTATCTGCACGCAGACAACTCACAGAGCTCATAGACCGCAAATACTACAGAACACTACAACGCTCGAAGGCCTTCTACTACATACATGCGAACAAAAGCGGCAGACTACTAGCGCAAATGATAAGAGGACAACAAACAAGAGACCAGGTACCAACACTGCGAACCGCAAGAGGACACCTCACCCAGCTTCTTCACCAACTTCAAAGAGATCTGAAGACGTGGAACCATGAATACATCTCCTGGCAAGGGCGAATAGCGGTAGTAAAAATGAACATTCTGCCAAGACTCCTGTACTATTTTAACACCATACCGTGGCACATACCGCCGGATTTCTTCGCGACAATTAAATCTGCGATAAGCAGTTACGTCTGGAAAGGATGCCAGGCGAGGCTCAGCCACGATAAACTATGCCTACCCAAAGCATGGGGCGGACTAGCACTGCCCGATGTGCGAAAATACTACCAGGCTACAGTCCTACAGAGGATCAGAGACTGGCTTACAGCCCCGAACCACAAAAGATGGGCAGACCTGGACAGGGTAAGCATGCAAGGTACCCTACCCTCACTGGTGTGGTACCAAGCCAGGGGTGAACCACAGAATACAAATAGGACTTCACCAGTCACACAAACACTGAAAACATGGGCTATAATGAGAAAGGAAGCCTATATCTCCCCGCAACTGAGCCCGTTAATCCCACTAACACATAACGGGGCCTTGGGTGGCGGCCTGCCGAGGAGCGCTTGGCCAGAAACTAATGGAGATGAATATCTCCCTCTGAAGGAAGCTCTACATAATGCAGGGCTAAAGAACATACAGGAATGGACCGGGGCCGAGACCCCCACACACATGCACAGGTTCCGGTACGCACAACTCAGGCATTTCTATTATAACATCCCGAATAGAGAGGCAGTACACAGGGACACAACATGGTTCGAAAACCTGTGCGTCAACACCCCTGAGGCGGATGGGAGAGTCTCCATAATATACCAAAGAATACTGCTGGGAGACCGGGTCAGGAATACAGCATTTAAAGGCCAGTGGGAAGACCTCACAGGCAGGACATACAGCGACGCGCAATGGGAACAGATCCTCATACTACAACATAAGAGCTCGATCAGCTCAAAATACCAGGAGGCCAATTTTAAACTACTATCCCACTGGTACCGAACACCTGTATTGCTACACATGATATTCCCAGGAACCCCTGACACATGCTGGAGATGTGAAACCCACACGGGTACAGTATGACATATATGGTGGGACTGCATTAAAATACAACCATACTGGGAACAAATCCGACAAGAACTAAACTCGATTCTAAGCGACACACCAGACCTTAGCATAGAAGCCGCCCTGCTCCACTTCACGAACCAATCCGTGGCACAATACAAGAGATCAATCCTAAGACACCTACTCAATGCAGCTTGTAACGGAACGCTGGCACTCCGACTGAGTACCTACGCCAATCGATGCTCCTAGTGCTCGCTGAGGACTCCAAGCACTCCAACCGACACCATCAGCACTGCAGACCCCACTTCCAGCGATGCAACTGCGCCGGGGTCTCTGCTGTCTCCACCCACCCTGGACCCAAGGCCAGGATCCAGCTTCCAGTGGGTGAACCTCTCTTTCCCCAGAGAGCAGGAACAGGAACAAGCTCCTAGCAGAACTTAGTGATCATACCCTGGGGAGTATAGTGATTATAGCAATCCCCAGAGTGTATTTCTCCAATCCCCCAAACATGAGCCAAGGCTTAATGCTGGAACAAGACTGATTTACTGGCACACAGAACTCACAATTTATGCAACACAAAACTCCTCCTCTGGGCCAGGCTAGATAATTGAGTTTCTACAATACACAAAGCTCAATTATCTGCTGGCCAGAAATAATACAGTTTCATAAAACACACAGGGACCCCAAAACATGCAATAACCCCATAAAAGTATATCCTTGGAACCGGGGGATCTGGGTGAACCACATATCCAAAATTCACCCAGATCCGTTCAGTACTTTGGAAAATACAGTTTAATGCAGAACATATACAGGCTAAATGAAAAACAATCACTGTATAATGTGTCCCCTGCTGTATAGTCCAAAACCACTGCACGATGTCTCTGTGCACCAAATACTGGCAAGATGGCACCGTGTTGAAAAGTCCAAACAGTGTCTGTGAGTTAAAATGGCCGCCATCCATTGTTCTCACCATGTGCTTCTGATACAGGAAATGGTGGCCACCCAGTAACTCCACAGCATGTCCTCAGATGGTTCTTAAAGGGCCAGCAGCAGCACAACACAAATCCATTATGCCCAAATCATGTCTTTAAAGGGCAATACATCCCAGGGGCCATAGTCACAGGGCAAGAGGCGGGCAAGCAGTCCTCTCCAGGCACAAGTGGCAAGGGCACTTCGTCACACAGCTAAAGCCCTAGTTCCAACGATGTGGAAAAGCACACAACCACCCACGATTGCACAATGGCAACAGAAAGTCGAGGAAATCCACACAGCGGAAGCAAAGATCGCGGACCTACAAGGGAGAAGCACCAAACATGTCGACTTATGGATGCCTTGGTACATGTACCTAACACACACACACGAACACAGGGGGAGGAGGGAGACATAGGAGCCACCGAGACACACACAACCAACGTATAATCTACGCAAGCATCCCCCCCCCCGGGGGCCCCTGCACCCCACTCTCCCCCTCCCACACCTCATTCCTTCTCTTCTTCTTTTTCTCTCCCCCGTTATCTAGACTTGCCTTGGGGCCCGGGTGGTGGCGGCTAGGGCCCACAGGTCCTACCCTTGGCCTCCTTCTGAGACAAAACTATGACAGTACTGAATAAGACCAGACGCATGAAAGGACACGGGGCCCTTCCACACCACTGCACCCACGATAAAGTAAACGCTGGACCATGCAATACACCACTCACAAACACCCTAATCCGGGCCAAAGACGACGAGGCCCAATCTGGACACACAAAGACCGAAAGGACCTTTAGCACTAACCCTGCCCACCCATGGACTGATGACACGAGAAACACGACCGCACGGACAAATACTGGGACTAAGACGATAGCAAACTAAGAAGCACAACTCTAGACCTAACTAGGAGGGTAATTAATACACACCTCTGTAGTCTGCCCACTATAACGGTAACTCCTACAGCCAATTATCATAAGCAACGGTATTGGGGACCTACGATCTCGCTTCTGAAAAATATGATCATATGATACATCTTGCCACGAGACCTGCGAGTCTCCCTACCATTGAAGCTTACACAGAGATTTGCATATCTCAATGTACATTAAGCACCTATAAGTATACGAAACCTGCGAGTTTCATAATGTATCTTAACTTATTGCATGTTATAACATGAAAAACCCATAATAAAGAAATTTACAAAAAAATAAATAAAACCCAGCTGATGAATAAAATGGCAGAGGCTTATTTTGAATACCAACAGGTGTCTGGTGTCTAATTCTCGCTTCTCCAAGTGCACTTGTAATAATAATTTGGGCTTCCTCTGAATATAACAAAGATCATCATTTGGATCCACAACATTTCTTTGTGTGATGGTACTGTGTATGTGTGTGATTGTGTGGGTGTGTGGGGGCTGGCTTAGTGTGATTGTCTATGTGGCTGTTTGAGAGGGAGACAACGAAACAGAGGATAAATAGAGAGGTACACATAGAGAAGGAGAGCCAGAGACAGCCAAAGACATAGAGCAAAAGGAAGACAGAGCTAGACATGGAAAGAAATAGAGAGATAGAAAGTGGGGAGAGATGTCTAGAAAGCTAGAGAGAGACAAAGAGTGACACAAGAAAAGGAGACAGAGGGACACAAGGAAAGGACAGACGGAGACTGCTAGAGGGAGACAGAGTGTCACGAGGAAAGTAGAGACTGAGAAAGCTAGGAAGAGACAGAGTGACACAAAGAAAAGAGAGCATGATACAGCTAGAAAGAGACAGAAAGGAAGTGAGACACACAGAAAGAAGTAGAGACAGGAAGAGACAGCCTCAAATGTGTGCAGGGATAAGGTACAGTAATTTACTTACCTCGATCCTGTGTGCCACTTCCACAGGACTTAGATCTGCTGGGCTTGCTCTGAGCTCCCCTGTGCAGTCTGAGTGCTGTGGGCATCCTGGGAAGAGAGGGAGGAGGAGCCATGCAGGCAGGGTAGGAGGCAGCTCTGCCATAACTCTGCCCAGGAAGAGGTGAGGAGAAGACATTGAGTTCCGGCATGTGATCTGGCTGTGTCTCTGCGGCACACACAAATAATGAATACAGCGCAATAATCAATCTGCACCTCACTGTGCCCCTTGGTGAGGTTGCTCAGTGACCAATCAGCTAGATAAGATAATTGCTATTTAGTATATTGCTGAATTGGCAATGAACTAAATAGCAGTTTTGCACGGGGAACCAGTCCTGTCAGCAGGGGTCAAAAGAGCAGCTGGGCCCCCTGGAGGGATGGGCCGGTCGCAGCTGTGACCCTTGCGACCATAGTAGTTCCACCACCGATCTTCAGCATCTGCCTGTTTGAGTTGCAATTGTGGATAATTTTATTTTAGGGCAGTTAGGCTGTCCACTACAGTACTATGAGCCTCACATAGTTCCGCCAT